ATACTTATGCACAAAATGTATTTGAATCTCACACTGAATCTTAAGCATATTTAATTTGAATATACAATTAATTATGAATTATTGATTGAATCCTGGTTTTGCTGTCTCTACTTCATAAATATCAATAGCAATTCAACCCAACAATAGTTTCATACCCCAGCTTATCAAATTTGAAAGTATTTACCACCATAATATTGCTATAATGGCATAAACATGCAGAAGTATATAGAAGCATAAAACTAAACTGTAAATATAATTCTGTAATAAAATAGTACATATGTGAAGAGGATTGACTTGGCTTCTATGTGAAACATTTCTCAACTTTAAAAATTCTTATACATATTAATGTAGAGTGGGTTTTTTTTCCTTTTTGCATTGAATTGTAAAGTAGTTTATAATGAGAAAATGACTCAGTTATCCCCACTTGTGCTACATTATCTGCTGTGGGATGGAAAAGCAGTTGATAATGAATATATATATATATATAAAAATGTGAAGGATTTGGTGTGGGATTTAGACAGAACACAGGCCTAGTACTGATCACCTGCCTAAGGCAGATTTTCACCCATAGCACAGAAGGCAGCATTAAGTGTGTGAAAGCAGCAATTCCTTTGAATTATTGATGGATTATTTGAGTTTTTGTTATTGAATCTATCTATTGGCAGGTAGGAAGATCCTAAATTTTTCTTCCCTCACTATGGATGACTTGAGACAGGTGCTTTGAAAAGATACATTATTTTATCTGCAGATAAAAACTATGAAGCTAGGCAACTGAAAGAAACAAGGGTTCTCAGAAACTTTTTTTTACATTTTCATTCTCTCCACACTGAGACCTCCCAAGAACAGCAGTCAAACACAAAGGAAACCACTTAAACAATTATTTTAGTCACACCCAGTTATTTTAAAAAATAGAGAGACAATTATAAAGTTCTTATTTTGAACACTATAAAACGTGAAAAAAAAAAAGTATTTCACAAATGGCATTTTGGTTCATCTTATGCCTAATAACACATTCTTAGAGTTCAAAATAACTTGAAAATATGTGGGGATTTTTTTTATTTTTTCAAGGATAAAACATTTTGGTTTTGCAAAAAAAACCAAAAAATTACCTTTCATAGAAAATGGGAAGATAAAATTACTTCCCAATTGATCCCAAGTAATTTTCCTGACTCTCTGCTATTGTGCAACAATTAAGGAACAGAACACCAGAACACACAAAGGCAATAGGTTGTGTTAGGAGCAGATATAAGTATTAAAAGCCTAAAGAAAAAAATCCTATTAAAAACACAGGACCTGTAAAGGAACTCTACTTTAGCTGCAATGCACACAGCTCTTATGTCAGATACTTTGTGCATAATGAACTCCAGAACTTAAAAAGGAAGGGGTGTTGTGCTCCAAGGCTCAAAAGCAATGGCAGAACCATGATGATCAATATTTCTCTGCGGGAGCTCCAACAGTGTTAAGGTTACCTCAAGCAATCCTGGTAATATCTCTGAGTCTTTAAACAGAGTCCCTCAAGCACTGGTATTTTGGGAAGCCTTGTGCAAGCTCACAGAAGTTTTCTCCAAAGTTCCGTTTTCCCTTGTTGACGCACATAATTTCTCTATATGTTGTAATGTCAGGCAAGAGTAATTTAGGAGCTCTGTTTTCTTTATTCTGGCTCTAGTGCCCAAAATGGTCAGCAAGACACTTCACCAAAGCCCCAAGGAAGGTGCAAACATTCACAGAGAACAAATCACGAGCACGCAGCTCTAGCACCTCTGATTATGGGCTGAGTCTTTGCCAGCTGTAACTATTCTGTCTTTGTGAAAATAGTCAGACCTTTTTATCACTGTTTCTCAATGCATTGGTAAACGTGGCTGCATGGAAAGGTTTGAACAAGAGTGTGTGGACAAGTTCTTGCACTGTGCTGAGCAAAAGTCCCATTGCTACTGTGCTATCATGAATTTGGGTGGCATTAGGAAACTTGACTAGCCCATTAAATTTGATTAAAGCATATAGACTTCTCAGTAGCTGGCCCTACATAAGGCTATGGTTTACATCTCCATTCTCTCAAACAGGCATCCCTTTGCCACAAGAAGATTCTTGTATTTTAGCTCCACATATCCTCCAGTGACAATTAACAAATTTGTTGAATTTTTCTAATTCACCTACAACAGAGTTGCAATGAATAAGATGGAAAAAAAAAGGTGCTTTCTATATATTACAAACCACAATATTTGGGTACATATTAAAGCCTTTTGCATTCTACATGCTTTATTTTCAGCTGGCCATGGGTGACTGACGGCAGGGAAATACAGCAGGCAGTTTCAGGACTTGTTTCTGCATTTGCTCTGCAGTGTGAATAGTGGTTCTTTGGCTACTCTTTCAAAATGGATCAGATAATAAGAACCCGTGAGGAGTTTGTACTGCTGTTTTTTTCTGCTCTTGCAGCCCCAGTTCTTTCGGGAGGTCATACATTTGATTCAGTGAACAGCTTACAGATCAACTGAATGTGCACAGCTAAGTCCTTCCATCCAGACTTGTTTGGAACTTTCCTATACACTTCAATGCTCCCTTTAGCTCTCAGATTTTGTTTATTTTAAAACAGCATCACTTATTCTAAGTGCCAAAGCACATGGACTGCTGCTTCTGAAATTAGAGATGGATGGAGGCTACCAGAAGGATGTTGAACTCAGTCTCAGTGCTACTATTACATTGTACTACAGAGTAATTGGGCTTTACTTTTTTTTTTAGGAATCCAGGTTGTAATCCATTCCTTTTCAAAGGTCTTTTCCAAGGTCTATCTATGCATCATTACAGTTTAACAACGTATGAAAAGTACAGGAGGTACTCGAGCAAAGCATCCAAAGCTAATAATGTAGTCTTACAAAGTAAACATATATTTGCTTTTGGTTTAGAATTTGAGTTTCATTTAGCCTTCAACTCCACACATTTCTGTAATTTTTAAAGTTAATTTTTAAGATAACTATCTGCCTCTTTAAGTGTTTTTGCTATCTTTTCTCATTCCAGAAAGGCATCAATTATCATTTTGCAAACTCCAATTCCAGCTGAGCTTTCAGTTAGCCCAACAGAACTTTCTTACACTTCTCATGATGATAAATCCTTTTCTTGCTTGAGGTGAGTGGAACACCCCATGGTAAATGCCCAACAGCATCCTTGAGCGATAAGATTTACAGAGATACTAGTTCTGCAAAATTTCACATCAATACACTCCACAAATTACCTCTTGAGCTGGGCTAAAGAGATATAATAGTGTTTAAATATATATTATTCCCAGAGGAAAAGGAAATTTGATATAACAATGGCTGGAGGGGGAAAGCTACTGGTGCTGGAGACTTGCTGTACAGAGTTATAAGAGTAATTCAGATATTGAGAGCCCACATCTTGAATGCCTTCAGGAAAACAAGGCAAGTACTATCCTCTACTCCTCAGTTTGTGTTATTTCTTAAGTGCTCCCAAAATGTCAGCTCAATGGGTCTGATGAGGAATATTTCAAGAAAAAATTGTTTTCCTAACATAGAAAAATTATTTTTTTTTTTAATCATATATTTCAGAAGGAGTCCTGTAAGCAGGGATTCTGGAATCACTAATGATTTTGGAATTCATTGTCCATCTAGTTTGGAGCAGATGCAGAACCTAGATCTTCTGCAATGGTGCAAGTGGGTACTCCTGAATCAATAGATGTTCACGATTAGCTGCTGCTTTTTTTTTTTTTTTCACTGTTCTGCCTTCCCATACACTCCTAATGATACTTTTTTTTCTCCAAAGCAGAACAAAAATTTTTGAAAATTAAATACTTTCTAGCCACTACTCCTATCCATCCAGCATCTCATGCCCCTGTGTTGGTAAAATATTCTCCTTATAAATTCTGACTATGCCAGTCTAAGCACAGTGAATTTTAACTTGGAGCAGTGCTTCCCTGGTTTTTTGTGGGTTTTTTTGTTTTTTTTTTTTTTTTTTTCCCCCTAGCAAATATAAAGAAGCAACTCTATAGTGGTCATGAAAAATAACCTTTTACATAATTTTACTCTTGCCTTCCATTAACCCTGGCACAAGCAACCTCTCAGCTTCATTATTTAATTACTTCAATCACATCTACGACATTGCTTACCATAGCACATATATATTAACACCATCATATATTTTTGAGAGATAATGTTCATATGAGTTTTGAACGAAGCCAATTAAAAACCATCACCAGAAAATCCTAAACTGCAGTAAACCATCATTTTTACCAAATATTTAGACCAAAGCAAACTAACAAAACAAAACATACAAAAAAGCAACAGCAACAACAGAACTCTAAAATCCAAGGCCAAGAGTAAGCAGAATTTTTGGGAGTTGACTATCTTTGGAGAAGAAATAGACGTGGCACTTGTAAATTATGAATGTTTCTATGAGTCATTATGCAGCATCAGATGTTCAGATGGGAAATAAAGTTTCCTATTAAGATACAACATCTAATGTTTTTACTTATGGAGACCACAAGCCATGCTGCTCACACAAGCTTTTCCAGAAATAATTAATAACAAACCCAGAAAAACAGGGCATCTCTGCTCCGACTTTAGATCTTCAAAACACCTAATTCCTAAGTTGATATAACACTAATTTTTAAATAATTTAACAATAACACAGGTTATTTTCAATACTTGAAACAACAGAGTAATCTCCTTAGTGTCCTCAGAAGCAGTCACCACTTGACTGAGCTGAGCTCAGTGGATTTCTCACGTCTAAGTTCAACTAATGTGCATTAATGAAACACATCTTTAACTTCTTTTCCTGTCTGCCACACAGCCTGTGCTCCAAGTCCTCTTTCAAGTATTTCAATATGTTACACAGTGATTCCTTAATGCAGAACAAACAAATAGTGCTCTGAGCACAGCTGAAACACAGGATTTCCATCCTCAAGCTGGATGACCCTACAAACTCAGTCTGCAATTTTTTTATGTCTCTCTGGCTCACTGGATTACATGGAAAATAAACAGCTTCCAACATACCTGTAGATTACTAGAATTGACAAGTTGTCCATTTGCCGAGAGGACACTGAACTCAGACCTTTGACTTGCTCTCACCACTGCTGTATCAGCAAAAGTGGGGAAAATGGGCAGGATATTCTCTCTAAGCTCCTCCTTCTGAAGTCAGATTTAATTAATTAATGAAGGAGCAGCTGTTTCCTTTTAGACAGACCCACTTGAAAAAGGAAGAGCTCCTGCCTAATAGCAGTAATGTGGCACCAACATCCCTGATTTAAATATGACCATGTTCTCAGTGAATTCTTTTGCTTATCTCAGAAAACTCTCCATTCTGAGACACCTAACATCTTTTGAATATCCCCTGAGGGGAGCACAGTTCTCATATTCAGCTCAAATACCAATGCCATTTTGGTTTTAAAATCCCTTTTCCTAAGTCCAGAATAAAGCCTAAATTACTTCAAAATACAAATTGATTCTAATGCAGACTGTGCTCCTAAATCAAAGAAGCAAAATACCCACAAAAGATATATATAAATTTGTCTCACATCCCAAACTGTCAGCGTGGACTAGAGACATTTAAAAATCCATTTCTAATTCAAAGACCTTAATAGGTGATATATTTCTCAGAAGTACTGACTGCCAGTCACTTAATGCAAAAAATCTTTACTGCCTAGAAGAATCATTTTAGAATTCTTTTTAAAGGGAACCTTGAGCCTTATGCAACTATTTCCATGAATGCACAGATTCTACAGAAATTCTGGGTTGGATTAGGCTCAAAATAAGCAATTTCTTGTGAAACAGAGACAGAAAGTGGCTAATTACAGTTCAAATAATTTGTACTTTCTCATTGAAAATATAGAAAATCCATTTAGTCCATACATAGAGAGCTTACATGAGTGTTTACAAAGCTTATAAAAACTAGATTGACTGGTGGTGATTATTTTAATAATAAAAATGTTTTTATCTCACTGCTGTTCTTTTAGAATGATACAAATTTAAGTGTTTACTGTATATTTTCCATTTTCTTTAAAGTAACTCAATTGTTTTCTCAGGTCTGTATCAAAGGAATTCATCTAAATCAAATATAAAGTCAGCATTTAGTTTGACAAGTGTCAGTTTTATTTTCTTATCCCTATCCCAGTTTCAATGCCTCTTTAAGCATATAAGTAAATCCTTTCTTCTTCACACACAATAGTTTGAATTTCCGGTACTATTCTGTGTTACTATTAACATTCTTTAAAATTCCCATTTTTGGAATTTTAATTTTTTTTAAAATCCATTTTAGCATTCAATGGCATTAAATGTATCTTTCAAAATTCACATTTTATAATTATATTTAATTATTAATATATTTACATAGTAATGTTAAATATTGACATAATAATGTTTTAAAATCCTACTTTTCCTTCACCTTAAACATGGTAACACTGAATAAAACCTATTTACACCGCATTGCTGACACTCTATACACATAATGCACAATATTGGTTACAGTATACTGTACTCATTTTTATACTAATAAAAGATTTACACTAAAATCAAACAGATACAATAAATCTGAAAAAATGGAACATTTTTCTAAAGGGGAATGTAACACTGTATCTAAAATCAGATTACATATGGAGCTGCCTTTAAAGTGAAATTTTGCAAATTGTCATTGGATTGACAGATATTTCAAAAACCCAAACTTTGCACTTCTGCCCAAATTGTGGCTCTGAACTGAGATTGACTGAGGTTTGGGCTGAGAAATGACTGCAGGTTTGTTGCATTTAGCCTGTTGATAGACATTTTAGTTTGTGGTTAAGACTACCACAGCATTAATGAAAAGAATCAGATATATCACAGTCTGCCCCTGAGTTTTGTTCCAACTTTTCCCCCTTATTTGCCTGAGCGTGCCATCTGCGCAGTCTATAGAAAGATTTCACTGTTATTTAAAAAAAATTTTAAAAAGTAGGTAAATTCTGTGGGAAGGTTTTCTTGGTGGTTAGGAAAATAAATAAACTGCTTGTGATTCTACCCTGGAGACAGATGAGTCTTATTACAGTCATAATAATGCTGAATTTTTTTACTAATTCTTGATTTTTCAATGGTGTACTTCATCTTGGAAGTACTATTTACTACAAAGTGTTTCTGCCAGCTTCTCTTTTTCTTGTTTCTTTCAACATGAATGATTAAAGATACATTATTAATTTGGTCTTCTGCTCAGTGAGGACTTTTAAGGTCCTTATTGTCAAGCAATAGAAGATAAGGTACCCAGTCACACCATGTACACAGTTATTTTGACCAATATTTTGTCCAAAGATCAATACCATTGACATGATTTTTTTGTGGTTTCACATTCTAAAATAAAATAACTTAGCTTTGCTAAGTAAACAGATCTGTCCCAATTAATTAAAATTAATAAATAAATTAATTAGTTCCGGAAAAGGAAAAAAGGATTTTCTGTGGGTTCTTTCCCAAAAAAAATCCCAAGGTTTAAATGAGAAGCAAAGCAAACATTTGGTTAGTTTGGTATTTGCTTAACTGGAATCTCCAATGTTGAAAAAAAGCTGAATAAGTTAAGAACTCTAATCACCTTTCATTGGGATTTATGCTGCTAGGTGAGCAAGATGCTTTGGAGATTGTTATGATCTGCAGAGAAAAAAATGTCAATTTTCAAAATGAACAAATAATTGGCAAAATTGTTCCTGGTTTCATAAAAGATTGTTCTGTGGGAAAAAGCTTAATGGCTTTATCTCTTCTATCTCTGCTAGCATAGAAGACAGGCTTCTCTCCTGAGAGCACACATTTCTGTTCTGGGGGAAGATTGCTGAGTGAAAGGTCTATTATCTAACCTTTTCACACCTGCTTGCAGAGTGGGACCAACAAAAGAAGAGGAGACAAGTACTTTCCAGAAAAAGGGCTGTCTGTGGACAGAACCTTGAGTAGCAGCCTAGAAGATAAGGGGCTAATGCTGATATCTCAAACACCAATGGCTGAACAGCCATGGAGCCAACCAAGGGCTGCTGGTAATGAAGTGCTCTGAGAAAGGGCAGGATGTGGCTGGGGAAGGGGGACATGTGGAGGTAGGGCAGCGATTTTTCTGTGGCAATTATCCTTTTTCTGGCTCCTGGAGATAAGCACAGCACAGCAAGAGCACAGGTAGAGGAATGAGGTTGAGAAGTGGGTATGGACTGCTAACCAAAGGATGACCCAGGAGGGGGGAGCAAGACCACTCCTTAAGACCCATTTCCAGAAAGGTCTAGAAGAATGGACTGTACATACAAACTGAATTGAAAAAAAAAAAACAAAACCAAAAATTATCTCCAGGATGATGGACTAACATACCAGTTTCCTTGCTGCATATAATTTACAAATCAAACTTTTTGTGGACCCTCTGGCTTTTGTGGTTTGACAACAATGTCTATGAACCTTGGGTGCTCCCTTCCCTTAAAGGATGGGGATGCATCACCTGTAGCTACATGGAAAAAGTATTTTCTACTGGTGTATCTTCCACTGCTAGGCAATGCAGGTTTGCATCTTCTGTCATAGTTTACTCTGGTAAAATAAAATAATTGATTCCAGAACAAATCAATAGGGTTGATTTTGTTAGTTTTTGGTTGGTTTTATTCTGTTGTGGGCTTTTTTAGTTCTTGTTGTTGTTTTTGTTGTCTTTGTTTGTTTTTTGTTTTTTTTTCTGATGCCAAGTAAAGTGAAATTAAAGTGAAACGACTTTGCCCTTAGATACATAAGGACACAGGAAACAACATGAAATCTAGATAGTAGAATGCCCATGCACACTTGCTGATTTCTTCTAATCTGGATACAAAAATCCCTTATAAAAGTCCCTTATCAGTGTTAGGCTGTGATCTTAGAAACAGAAGTAATTGTCTCAGTGCTGACAAGTTGCCTTTCTTGTTTACCTTTCCTGTGCTTTCAAGGGGAAAGGGTGATAAGCAGATTCTATCTTGTTCTTTTCAGACTACCCTAGAAACAGCCTGAGATTAAGACCCTTCGAGAGAAATTCCATTAGAAATTCAGTGTACAGTCTTGAGATAATGCAGGAGTTTGGACTGTACCTCTCATTTCTTCCTGAATCCTTCATAACCTGGAGATAACATAATACCATCTAAATCAAAAGTTAAAAAATATATAGCATACTGAAAAGTATGAATATGGGCACTAGGGCTGTTCATCAGAAATATTTATTTGTTTCAGATTCAAATTTGTTTCAGAAAATGTTTAAGCACATTAATTATTTAGGAAGAAATCTAAAGCAATAATACTTCTTCAAACTGTAATTTGGATTAGTTATCTGCTTGAAGACAGAATAAACTCAAAAAATAAGTTATTTCGGATCCAACTGACTGTCAAAGTCTGACTTGTGTAAAAGGTTTTTTTCACCATTTTCATACTGATATTGGCATCTCTTTGTCACAGAATTACAGAATTACAGAATGGACAAGATTGGAAGGGACCACAGCAGTCCTTGATCCAACCTCCACACTCAAGCAAGGTCATCCCAGACTCAAGATTGTCCAGACAGATCCTGAATATCTTCAGTGAGGAAGACCCCATCACCTCTCTGGGCAATCTATTTCAGTGCAGTCACAGCATAGTGAAGTTCTTCCTCATATTTAGGGGGAACTTCTTGAACACAGGAGTCTGGGCTCTTTCGGAAGATCTGGGCATGCCAGTACAATCCATCAATGTTCCCTGGGCTGAAAGCTGCTGTTGCGGCCCAGGCCTTTCCAGGGTCTTCTTGGCCACGTAGCAGACCAGCACAAAGCTGAAATATTTGAGGGCAACCGGCGCATTTGGCTTCTAGCTGCACATGACTGTCAACCACAACATCCACAGAATTTTCCCCCTCTTTCCTGTCTGCTGAGCCTCCATCCTGCATCCTGCAGCTCTTCAGAGCCCCAGGGCAGGCCAGCATGGCACCATCCTCTGCCAGAGCAGCAGGGGCAGCAGTGCAGGGTGCAGCCCTGCAGCAGGGCTGCTTGGGTGGTGTATCAGGACAGGGAGCTGCAGCACCCCTGCACCATGCCTGGCCCAGCACATCTTGAGCCCTGACTGCAGGGATTCCAAGAGGGTCTGTGGCCAGGAGAGCCATGCTTCAAGCACCATAACAAAGAAGAT